GCGCCTCCCAAAAAATCCCAAGTCGAAAATCGGGGCAAGCAACGCGTTGATATTTAGACACGATTTATTGAAAACATTGACGGAAAAATGTGGAAATTGTAAAACAATTACGGATTTTGGAGAACCTTGCAAACTTGGGGCCAACAATGGCAGCATTAAACATATCGGCAATCGGCAAAAAAATCCTAACTGGAAAATTAGCGCAACTGGCGACTTGAAATTTGCCCAAGATTTCCAGAAAAGGTCAAGGAATAGAAATTGGAAAATTGTTAAACAATCTCAAAACCGACTGAGTTTTTATAAGCTCGCAAACTTGAGCCAAAGACCGACAAAATTCAAAATTTGGCGCTCGCACAAAAAGTCGTCACTCGAAAATTAGGGCAAGAAGCGAGTTGCGATTTTGACACAATTTATGGAAACTTTAAGCAGAATATCATTAAATCCGCAGTAAAGATGCAAAAACAGCACCTCTAGCACCAATAAACCTTACATTTAAGAACTCAGAACATATAAGCAAAAACAGCCGTCGAAATTCTCATCTACTGATGAAACTTTTCGATCTGGTGAAACTGTTCTTGTTTTATGACCAATAATAATAATTGAAGAATAGAGATCACTTCCTCGACTTTATCGAGCTCAGCAGGAAGAACTGCTTATCCTGCGGATCAGTTCGACACGCTCCATACTCGTTACTGGCACTAGAGGATCGTTATTTTCGCATTAGCCTATCGCAATGGGAAATCGTGAAAACTATCTTTATATCGACAATGAAGCCACATTCTATTGTGAAGTCTTATTTAGTCGGCAAGACTGAACGTTTGGTTATCCGTAAATGTTCATTTCAAAAAATAGCTTTTACCTGCACAGGCATTTTCAACCGATTTGAAGTCGAAGACTTTTACTTTGCTCGTTAACATAGCGATGTCCTTTCGAAGAAATGCGTCTTCAAATCAAACTTCCGCTGATATCTTAGTTGGTAAATGTTGCATAACTCTGCAGCGATGATTAACCGAACACGTTTACCCAGCACATTAAAAACAACCACTAAATCAAGCTGCCATCTTCTGCGGATATTCTCGATTGCAAGATTAGCTTTAATCAAAGCACAAATTCCCAATGATACCTAATCAGAGATAGTTTTTCACTTGATGTCAGTTTTTCTTCTTGTCTCGTTAGAAAATAACTGGCTGCTAGTTAAAATTTTAATGTCCGATTGGCCGTAAACTGGCGGGCAGCGAACAGAGGCGGCTTAACTCGACATCGAAAAGATGGGAAACTTGACTTTTCTTGACTCTTTCAGGGCTCGGATCCCAGAATAGCTACGTGCAGAGGAAAACTCCAGAACAGACGATCCAAACTCAATCAGGAAATCAACAAGGAGCTGCGACTCAGAGCTGGTGCGGAAAACCTGTTCAAAGCCACCACTAACAAGAAGCTGAAAGAAACGGTGGCTGTTGAGCTGAGCTTCGTCAACTCCAATCTACAGCTGCTCAAAGAACAATTAGCCGAATTGAATTCTTCAGTAGAACTCTATCAAGGCGAGAGGTAAAAGCTAGAACTAATCGCCAAAAACTGAGCTTATTACTAAGGAATTTTAGGTTGTTTATTTCAGATTGTAAAATTTCTATTACTCCTTTCACACTTATGTGGTTAGTTTGATAATTCTGGAAAACTTTATGATAAAATTCTGAAAGGAAAGTTCCTTTGACGCCGATTGCGTGGGCTTTTACAGAATGGCTTTTGCATATGCAAATTTGCGCGTATCTTTAAAAATAACGTAGTAAGAAGAACCTTGAAAGTGTGGTTTAAAGGTGCACGATTGCACGATATTAATTTCGCAATAAACACGATTTCCTGAAGAATATTTTTCCAGCTCTGAAAATAGTTTCAATCAAAATTCCCACTTAATCCCGAATCTGTGGTTTGAAAGTATTTTCGGTGTCTGGGTTTTCTTCGGCATTTTCAACCAAAACATCCCAGATAGCACACAAATATTGCAGTAATATTTTTTGCAATATTTAATATAGGTTGACGCGACAGATTCTTATATATTACAAACAAAAATATTTCTGGTAAATATTTATTTGACATTTAAATCAAATATTTATTTTTTGTATATGTATTTATTGTATGTATTTGTTTCATGCTAATTAAATATCAGAAACAAATATTTTCTAAATAACATTTAACAAATATTTCTTTTTATTTTGAAATATTTACCGTTAATTGACCAATGAAAATTCAGATAATATGTTCTAAAGTTTGTTCACACTTATTAAAAATAATATATTAATAACGTTTTGGGTGTTAACGGTGTTGTATATAAATACAAAAAGTTTTGGTACTATGAAAAAGTATTCTTAACTTATGTGCTTCATGTTAATTAAATATTAGAAACAAATCTTTTTGAAATAACATTTAAATAATATTTAAAAAATATTTCCTTTTGTTCTGAAATATTTGCTATTCATTGATCAATGAAAATTCAGATAATATGTTCTAAAGTTTGTTCACATTTATTAAAAATAATATATTAGGAACTTTTTGGGTGTTAAGGTTGTTATAGATAGGTACAAAAAGTATTATGTAATCAGAAAATTATTAATAACTTATTTGTTTCATGCTAATTAAATATAAAAAACAAATATTTTAAAAATAATATTTAAGAAATACTTGCTTTTGATCTGAAATATTTCCTAAATATGTATGTAATATTTTGTGCTATCTGGGATCGCCCAAAAATGCTGTTTAAAGATGCACAGCACGTTAAATAGCAAAAAAGCGCAAAAGAAGCTGTTAAATAACTAGTTTTCTTTCGAAACTTGGTCGCAGCATCAAACAAATCCACCAGGTGGTCTTTAAAAAACCATAAAACCTTCCTCATTCTTGTACCAGAAAAGAGAGTCGATTATTTCGATTATTGATGAAGATTCCCGCAAAAAGCCTTAGAATCCACTAATTAGCGCCCCTTTAGGCCTTCGAACAGTAATTATTAATGGCGTGTAAACAAATGTGTGCAGGAATTCGCAGCGGAATGAGCAGGTGAGAGATGAAACAAAAACTACGATGCCGCAGGCCAATAGTAACCTGACCCAGATTGAGTCCAATGAATTGAAGAATCGCGAATTCTTCCCATCGGATAGGATCTGACTAAATCGCAATTTGTACACAGGAAATTGATCTTTGATTGACCAATGAAGAGACTTGCAAAAATGAATTTAGTTCCAACCCCGGTTTGTCTACGGTTAACCAAAGCGCGTCAGCAGGAAGATTGACGAAGACCCAAACTACCGGCTGTTGCCAGCAAACACTTCAACAAGTCTTAAAATAGACTTGAAAGCCCCAACTGCTGATTTTAGCTAAAATGATGCCAGTCTTTGCTAGCGAGCTGATTTTTTTGTTCTTTCAGTACGAACGCGGTAATGCCCATGATCCCCTTAGGGCTAAAGGAAACGAAGGAAATCGACTTCAGGGACCCGTTTAAGGACTTTATTCTGGAACACTACAGCGAAGACGCCAATAAATATGAAGACGCAATTGCTGACTTCATGGATACGAGGCAGGCTATGCGAACGCCCCTCCGAGACTCAACTGGAATAGGTTTGTCCAACAGATACCCATAAAAGAACAGACAGTCATTTCCGGGTTTAGGGCTTCTTTTTCGGTATTACAATCAACTGTACTACGTAGAAAGGAGGTTTTTCCCACCGGACCGATCATTGGGGATTTACTTCGAATGGTTTGACTCCCTTACAGGTATGGCCTTTCTCAGGCATTGACCAAATTTTTTAAGGAGGAATTCTTAGGTGTCCCCTCGTGCCAAAGAACGGTAGCTTTCGAAAAAGCGTGTGTCCTCTTCAATATGGGTGCCATCTACACACAAATAGGAGCAAAACAGGATCGATCGACCGCTAAAGGTCTGGATGCTGCTGTGGATAATTTTTTAAGGGCAGCAGGAACTTTCAGGTGAGCCCAAAGGAACTGGTTTCGCATCAAACCAATTAAGACTGATGAGTTTCTCATTTGTCTTAAATTGCGTGTAATTGTTAGTACATTTTTTCTTGAAATTGTGAAATAGAAATATTCATATCGTTTATTTCATA